AACGAAAGGTCCATCTGTCTTGCAGACGACTTGCTCTACTCTGCTGGCAACATAGTCCCCTGGTGGCGAGGAGGACCAGGTGTCTTCTTGTTTCTGCCACTTCGGATTTAATCAAATGAACAAAATGTGGATCTATTATTGACACGGCAGTCTGGATGCTACAGTGACTTTGCGTTGCCTCCGGTGGTACCAGTTGACAGGACCGGTCGTGGCTAGTCGGTTAGCCTGCTCATTTCAGTAGATGTCTTTTGCAACACAATGATGTATTTTCGAGGTTTTCCAGTGGAAGCAGAACCATCATTTAAATGAAAACAGATTTATTTAAAAAAATTCCAGGGTACAAACAGGTACATGAAGGATCACACAGGGTGGCAGGAACACGGAGGATCACAAACAATCTGAGAAGAACCGACGACGAGAAAAGGGACAAACATGGCTTAAATACAGTGGTAAGGCGCAGGTTATTAACAGGTGGGGACAATTAGGGACAAGGGAGACAATCACAAGAGAGGAAAAACACCAGGGGACGCCTGTGGAACACAAGGGACTCCTTGACTCGGGAGACAGAAAAGATATATATCGGTGGGGACAACTAGGTTGGACACTAAGCGGGCAGCCGGAAGGACAGAGAAGCTGATCATTGTGGAGGAGCGAGCACCCGAAAGATATATGTCCCCACCAGTGGGTTCCGTTCATTTCATCAGCCATAGACGCCCGTTCTGAAGTCGAGGCGGCTGCTCTGCTACGCTTTTCCACAGCAACAACAAAAGTGTTTATCTATGCGTGCACATCCATCGGTTTAGTGTTTGTTGGATGCAATAATCTACAGGCTGTCCTCTTGGATGTAAGTAAGAGTAAATGTTTACATGGGATTGTTAAATTATCTTGTCAGCAAAGAGAGAACTGTGAATACTAACTCACACGTCAGAGTCTGGCGCCGCTATTGCCAAGGATGTTTTCTGTGGCAGATAAAATCCACAAAGGGCTCCTTGTGTGTTTTATATAGGATTCCATCCATCAAAAACACTTAGAGAGCACGACAACAGGCGTTGAGGATAAAGTATTAATAGATAACTATATATTACCCGCTCTATCATTCTCTCCTAAGCTGTTATAGTGCAAGCACTTGCTCTTATATTCTCCACTCGAGAGTCACAAAAAAAAGAAGCTTCAAACTGAAATTTTGACTGCTGCTGTGATCTGCTGCTCTGGCAAACTGGGTAACCATTTCTGATACGAAACCTGAACGAGAGAGAGCTACAATTAATCCATCAAACACCTAATAGATGTCTCGTCTGTATTCATACATTGACAATGAAAAGCTAATTCGTCATTCACTCCCATGACAGGTTTTAGTTGAATGCGGTTTTTTTTCTTGCATAATTAAAAAAAACAAATAATGGACTGATGGGCATCAACAAATATTAAACGTTTACAATATTAAAAGGTATTACAAAATGCTAATAACTACATAATATTGTTGAACAATTTGATGGGCAGGTTGGCCCACAGGCCAACAGATTCTTATTTAAAACAATATAACATCCTATACTAAATAATATCAGAAAGGTATGGTCTTAAGAGACAGGCCTGATCAAACACAAATTACACTTTTAACTGAAAGCGAAAGGATCTATTCTATTTTCAAAATGCTCATTCAAAGGTGTCATAAACCGTTTGATTTTTAATAATCTTATCCATAATGAATTAGTTATGCAACATGATAATGCGCTTATCTGCACTGTGATTGTGACTGAATTTGTGTGTTGCTGTCTCACAAAGCATACTTGTTAGTAATCAAAACAGTGGAAATGTAGCATTAAACAAAGTCTGGGGAAGGTTAGAATCAAATCAAATCAAATCTTATTCTGATTGCTTGGCTGAGTGAGTTTTTTCATTACCTCGTCACTTCCGCTGAGACAAACATTTGGTATTGCATTCCTCAATTTATAATATTATATCTTTGGTTTAGGTTAAGGCAGTGAAATGAACTAAAATCTTAAGGTAAGTGCATTTGTTAATGTGTAATACATTACTTAAAATTGCTCTTAGAGCAAACAACAAATAAATGTATAATGTAGCTACTTATTCAATATGCAGCACTTAGAAAGCATATTTCAAGACAAAAGATCAAACACTGACAGCGACACCGATAAGTATAAAACTCTCTTCCCACAGATTTATTACTTCCCTAATATATATTCCTGAGACAAAGATGTATCTTACATCTTAAAAACGAAGAAGTGTTAGCTTTAGTTTTCCTGTGGGTTTTTCTACCATATTAATCTCCTTGGGAGGGAGTGGAGTAAATCTTTAGATTAAGGTACTATACAATATGACAGTCAGCACAGCTGAAGTTACAAGGTTTTTACATGACAGCAGCTGTTTAAAGATATTATGGGGTTATTATCTGAACTACAATGTAGATCTGGTTAAATAACTGCAGCCTACTGCACTTAAACTCTGGATAAAAGCATCAGCTAAATACATAATCTTTCATTGTCTCTTAGCAAACTAAATATCGCAGGCAAACTCATTTTCAGCCATGTTAACTTCCTCAGGAAATCTTATCCAAGAGAGATATTTTTATCTGTGGAGGAGGCCTCCGGGCTACATAGCCTCATTATTTAGTTTGGCTTCCTGACTATATTTCTCCTCTTATCCTGAGCAGCACTGTGGTGGAGCTCGGCCTTTAGACGGGAACATGAAAGAAAAAACATCCGCCCCATTTAAGCAAGCTGTTAACACATAGATGAGCTATCATGGGACAGACTCAGAGTCTGTGGGCCCGGCAGACACTGTGCTTGTAGCCTGGCACATTGGCAGCCATCTCACTGCATTAACAGACAGAAAAGCACCTCTGCAGGCGTGAAGGAAAACAACAATGGCATAGCAAGATAAATCCACCTGAAAGCAGAATACCGGCGATTTGTTTATGAAACCAACGCTTTTCAAACATCAAACACGGGTGCTATCATTAGCAAGAAAAAATATATATATATGCAAATAGACTGGAAGAGTGAAAGTACTGGCCAACCCCCTTGTCTCCACTAGTGATTACATTACCAAAGTTCAGAAATAGTAGTTCCTGGGGAGAAAACACTGACATTTTCACTGTAAAAACACAGTAAGGAAAATCTCTGCTTGTTTGTTACATTTCTTGAGAACCTTTCGTCTGAACTACATCACACTTGGTACGTGTCGCCTGGTGACCCCATGGAGTGTTTGGAGCAGTGTCATATTCTATAAAATGAATAAGCATACCAGTTTAAGGAGGACTGCTGCTGGCAGATTGCGGCTGGCAGTTCCCTTTGACTGGTGATGCCGTTCAGGCCAATGCTACATGAATGCAGGATGAAGTTACCACCAAGCTATTATGTATTTCCCTGGAGTCAGACATATTTTGTAAGGTTGACAAACTAAAACTTTATTGCCGGAAAAATATCTCCAGTCATTAAATCCATTGTCTACTCTAACCACGGCTGCCGTGTCAAACTGAGCAAGTAATATGCCTATTTGGAAATGAATGTCATCAATATTGCAGCTGGTAGTCTCTGACTGCGCCACTTGGGTTTCCTTTTCACCCAAAAGTAAATTTCCCTGCTGTAAGACTTGATACTAACTTGAAAAAAGAATATCATAACCTACAGCAAAAAACCCCAGCTAATTAAATCCATGTTCTACCCAACAACTTCATAATCTGCAAAGTAAAAAGAAAAAGCTCAATATAAAGTCAATGTTTCCCTGTGAGGTAGAGGTACACAGTAAGTAGTAGGCTACACAGCTGAGTTGTAATTAAGTGTTTTGGGACATTGTTTCAGGATGCTGTGAGTAAAAGTAGTAAGAATTTTATATTTTTCATATCATCAAACACCTTAATGAACTGGGATTTGCTGCAGAGCACCAGAGGAAGCGAGATGTTGAGTGTCAAGTGGTTTTGTCTGAGCAGTTCCCAACAGAGCGGCCAGCATCAACCCAACGGGCCAAGGGGTCAAATACAAGGTATTCTGAACAGGCACTGCATTGGTCATCACTGGTGCAGAGCTGAACAGGTGCAATAGAGTAAGCTTCAAAAAGTCACAACATGAAGCCACTTCAGACAGCAGCAAGTGGAAGGAAATGCTCAAAGTCACCACGAACCACAGTGTGAGAATCACCAATATCTAGACACTGCTGCAGACAAAAAGAAATGAAAAAGAATCTGGAAATAACCTGGACTTCTTAAGGGAGGGCAACGTCAGTAGTGTCAAAAGGTTCCATTTAAAAAACAAAGGAAACGGGTTAGGGGTTAGAATTTAACCCGAAAAATGAATTGCATATACCATTTGCAAAATGACTGTACCAATAAAAAAGTCCATGTTTGACAGCCGTGAATGGGCTAGAATTCCCTCCTTTAGACAATGCTCAGAGGGAGTGAGTACTTGAAGAAAACGATTTTCTAAAACGGTTAAGTAATAGATGGGGCTCAAGTGTCTCATGCGAAATTATAGTTGCTCCTCTGACAACCTCAGCACTTTGGTACAAAGTCCATGCTCCAAAAAAAAGTAAGTATAGTAACATCTGACGCGAGCACACGGCTCGGTTCACGCTGTCAACCACTTTCTGAAAATGTCCCGTAGAGCTTGTTTCTGCTTAAAAGCCCATTTGGATGAATAGAAAGTGTTGTACAGCCACGGAAATAACACCACTGCCCAATCACAACAACAGAGCAGTAAGATGCTACTGAAGCAGCTGCCTTGATCAACAGCCCACATGGAAAAGCCAAAGTCATACAATACAGATGACCCATATATTTCAAACAGTTTTGACCTTCTCAGACTTTTTCCGCTTCTCCGTGCACCTTTGAAGGAGGTTAAGTCGTACCAGAAGAAACAGCTCTTTCATTTCTCAGCAAGACATTCACATCCAACAGTCCATTCAGCATACAAACCCTTTGAAATACTGTCAAGTGACAAGGTTTTTTTCATCTCAGAAAAGGCTACCGGGTCGGAAACACTCACCATTTTGTTCTTCTTGGAGTAAGTCCTCTTCAGCAGCCTGTCTGTCATTCGCTCCTGCTCCCGCTGGGCGTGATGAAGGAAGCCATTCTCCAAGGGATCCACCACCGGCTGGACGTTTTCTTCTTCCTCCTCCACTTCCTCATCTTCCTTTTTCTGCCGCTTTGTCACTTTTTTCTCCTTCCAGCGCTCCTTCTTCTCTTGTGTCTTCACAAGTCCCGTCTTCTTCTGCAAGGAGAAGATGGAAGCCAATTAGAATATAATGTATTAAAAAAGTATGTGTGCACGATATATATGCATGGACTGGTTGACCCACATAGATCACATGTGATCTAAACAATGCTGTGCATCTTGTTATTATCGGTCAAATTTGACCCGGTAAAATCCTTTAAATCACGGTACACCAGGTGACAATAACTTCACAGCGCTCTCTTTGAACAACAACCGAGCAGACATCTAGATGAATAGGTGGCAGGAGATGAATGTGTCAAAGAAGAGAAGGTAAGGTGTGCCGCATAACCATAATAAAAATAATAATAAATGGTTGTTTTAAGGGTAAATTGCAAAGACAAGCTTGACATGAATTAAGTTTAGCAGAGACGTTATTCAGACCACCCATAGTGTGTTTTTACACCCATAACGTAAACAGCATTTATTCATTCAAGGTTTAAAGTATGCTAAAGACTAATGCCGGTCTCAGCCATTGTTAATCATAGAGGGGACTTGAATTCACATTGAATTTTTACGCTGCCGTGGCAGGAAAATTATAGCGGAGCAGAGTGTCAGTCCGACGGAATCTGTGTCTGACTTTTCTTTCGCTGCGTTGAAATAAAAACATTGGTGATTTGTATTTTGTTAATGTTTAAAATACTACTGCCAGCCAAGGCCTTTAGCTCAGTACTGGCAGTGTGGGAAGAGGCTAAAGACATTGCTAACCAGATAGGGTGAAGAGGTACACAAATTGACGCACATGCACATCTGCCAGCCAGTGGAAAACACGGCTGCCAGCCGACCAGCCTGCCTGCTTGTGCGGCTAATGATTGAATTGTATCCTCCTCCCGGGCTTCTGCTGCCCATTATTTCCAGATCTCATTAGGTCCGAGTGGAGCTGGAGCCTTGCTGCTGCCTAGGAGAAGTCGGTCGGAGGACCCGATCTGCAGAGGACGACACGCTGCCCCATGAAGCTGCGTGCAGTTCAAGGCCGAAGGCTGCTAGTTCACGTTGCAACATCTGTTCACAGCCAGCAGCACCCAGCCTCGCTGCAGTCGGCTCAGCACTCCATATGAATAATCAAATTATTGCCTCCAAGGGTGGGGCGTAGCAGATGGCAAGCGCATTAGACCCACAACTGCTAATGAATGACACCTTCCGTGACAAAAGGTGTTCATGTGTCAGGCACCGCGAAAAACAAGAAATTGGCCATAGAAAGTTTCATTTCCTGGGAGTCTTTGCATTATTTATTTTAGCTTAAATTGAACAGGTTTGCAGCTGAAGTTATTATTTTCGTACTGCTTGGAGAAGCTGTTCTATTCTAGATTTTCTTCTTTTCAGCTAATAGGCAAAATAATGACTGACACTTTTGAAGAGTGGGTCATAATTCAAAATTGAGATGAAACCTGTTTTAATTGGAAGAATTCTATTCACCTACCCCCCTGCATGAAGCTTAGAATAGTGACCATGAAGACAACACTGAGCAGATTAGCTCTGAGGAGCTGTGGAAGCAGTAGAGTTCCTCTGTGACAAAAGGTCACCAGGCTGACACCACTTTGACAGAAGGATTTAATGTCGTCACACTGACATCACACAGCAGCTCAAAGCTCTTCTCCCCTCACAGGCCAACGCAGTCATTTCCTGTCATGAAAGCCGTTACCTGGGGGGCATCTTAAAAGAGGACAAAGAGGCTACGCACTGACAAGAAAGGATACGCAGAGGATACGGGTGTTTTAAGCTGCAGTATGACGGCCCATCAATACATTTCAGGTCCGTGTCTTCTCAGCCAGCATTAGAAACATGTCGTGGTGAACAAACCGGCTTTTGAGTGGTGTGTTCAATTAAGACTCCACTTGCAGAAATGTGGGGTTTCATTAGCCTCCTGTAGGGAATCCTTGTGCTAATCATCTACTTCATTCACACAGAGAGGAAACAGCGAGGCACAAGGACTTCACTGATTGGTTGACAGTTTGACAGATTTGGCTTTAATTGCATTTACTGTCAGATAGTGTGCGAGCTGTGGTCTTAATATCTCATCTTAGACAGCAACATGAGAAGCACCCTTCAGCCCTTATCCCTTACAACAACTTCCAAAACGGACTGTTGAGGTTTGTTAAACGGATGAGAGTCTGTAAAAAACGTGTGTCATGCGTAACAATTTATTTTAAAAGGTGTAAGTTTGCCAGATTTGGGAGCACATCAAAGCAATTACATTTTGTTCAGCACATTTGCATTTGCTCTCACTGCTGTCTCATGTCGGGCGTGTTCTATTAGTTATAAACAGATTTCAATTGTCTATCTGCGTCATTCCCATTTATTCACAGTGCATGACTTCAACAATAGATCTATAATAGCTGCAGGAGAAGGAGGGTAATCCATCCCAGTGTCCTTGCCAAAAACGTCTTAGTCGCGATATCATTTCCATATGCAAAAGGCCTGAAGTGTTGTTTTTTCATTAATAAAATGGTTATTAAATTATTTCTACACATAATAGAGCAGCGTTATCATCCTGTGCATTAACCATTTGCATATGAAAAGAGAAAAGCACTGATGCACGTAATCGCAAAGCACATTCTTTGCGGTCGGTGTGAATGGCAAATGTATACTTGGCATTTTTTTTTAGTTCGTTAAAACTTTTTTGTCCTATTCTCTTAAAATGCTCTACAAATGATAAGTGTACAATCTCTGGAACTACTTTTGTCTATATGGACTATTTATTTTTTGTCAGGGTATCTGGGGAACCCCTGAGAGTGATCTGATGTGTATCAGTTTAGATTTTACTGGTGAAGAAATAAATAACACGCAAAAAAACCCTTTGAATTTTATTCAAAGGTCCTGTAAAAACAAGGAGATACGTTGATAGAGTACTAAAACTACTCTAGAGGCTTTTGTGCAGGCAGAGAAACGTCAGAGGGGGACATCTGGCTCTTTTCATCACTCAGAAAAGAGCAACAGCTCCCTTAGCCACTCAGAAGGGCAGAGCCCTCCCCCAATGGCCGATGCACGTATCTCGCTCCAAAAAAACTGAATAATTTCATCTAAAACGTCAACGGTAAGAGGCATTTAGGATTCAAATGCTCAGATGTTTGGTGGCGATTCTTCTCTGGCTTTGATAAGGTTTGTCTGAGGGAAATCCATCCATCGTCAAACCGCTCATCCTTCATACAGGGTCGCGGGGGGGGCTGGAGTCTCTATAGTGATGCTCGGGCAAAGAGGGGTCTTATCTCTTATCCCTCAACGTCACTGCAACCCACAAGGTGAAAATACATGACTTTAAACTCGTCCTCCCAGGTTTTCCCTATGATGTTTGGTTCAAAATAGTTCTAGAGTCAGACAAAGTATCCAAAAACCGGTGAATCATCCTCATTCCACCTTGTTCAGCCGGGGGCAGATGTGTGACAGTGACCAAACAGCGGAGAGGAAGTGGCTTAAGATCCGATGAGCTGCGGGGGGTAAGCGACGGCAGAGAGAGAGAGAGAGAGAGAGAGTAAAAGAAAGATGGAGAGAAAAACAGACAGAGATAAGTGAGTGGTGTGAGTGTGTGTGCGTGTGCGGAGCACAGCCTGGAAGAGAAGAGAACGCTCGACTGGTTTGACCCAACCACGTTACCCTGGCAACAGTATGGGAGAGCTTTGTTGCTGTTCCAGGCTGCATGGGGACAGGGGCATGTGTGTGTGTGTCTGTGTGTATGAGTGCATCAAATCCAACACAGGTCTCATTGCCCGCTGACAATAAAGTGCACGGCTTTACGTGCTCATGCTGGGGCCTTGAGATCCACCGTGGAAGCACATTCTGCTCCCAAAGGACGGTTTACGCATTCCGCACAGAAGAATGTCAGCCACCCTAAAAGTGCTTGCAAAGGGCTCGGGGGCTCCCCGGGAGGCACGCATGAACCAGAAGGCAAAGAGATCTCACAAAAGGGAGTGCGGACCTCGGAAAAATAAATAAATAAGAGGATGAGGTGATGCCTGACGCACATCATCACACTTTCTCAACAGCACTCGCTCTTCCTTCTGTGGCCAGTAATCATTAAACACAAAGAGCCTTGCAGGGAACACCGCGACAGAGCCACAAAGAGATAACAGGCGCCGCTTAAACGCTCATCACTTTACTTCTACAACTACGAGGCTGGAAATGTTGCAACACTTTCAATTCAAGAATACTACAAAATTACACTGGATATTTCTGTAACGGGTTGAAAAACGAGCAAAGCCTGGATATATTTGAAAAAAGGACTCAATCTACCGTCACGTTCAATTATATGGGGAATTTAAATCTTATAATAATAAGATATTTTTAACAATAAATCTGATGGTCATCCAGTCATCTGACTAAAAATATGTGGTGGAAATTGAACGTTTGAGGTTTCCGATGTTAGTTCTATTTAGACCAATATGGAAACACTACAGTTACTGTAAGATTTATCCATCAGTTTATGACTATAGGGATTATGGGACAATATAGCAACCTACTGTGGTTAGTTAACAAACTACAGCTTTCTGTAAAAAGTTGTATATTGTCAAAATGCATCCTCTTGCACATTTAGACGTACCGAGTTCCCCTTTTCTTCTTGCTGAAGTCTCACTTTCATCTCTCTTAGGTATCTGTTTTTTTAAGAATTAAGAAGGTTCTGGATCCATCCACATAGATTTCAGAATAGAATGTTTCTGATGTTAGTTAGAAGAAGAGGAAGGTTAAAAGAAACCCCACTTCAAGGAAGATGAAATCAATGGTGAGCGATTCATTGATGTCCCCTCAGGTGAGCGTGCACCTTAATTGGCATCTTCCTGCGTCTAGTATCAGTTAATGTGATGAATCGATTCCCTTGTGGCCCTGATGTGAAAGGTGGTCAAGGAGGTTAATATTCGAAGAGGACGTTCATCCACTTTCATTTTCCGTACGATATGAGAGCTACTTATCCGTCACACCACCTCTGGCTGAGGTGGGGTTGAGTCAATCTATTGCTCGGTTGTTGGACTAATTCTCAACGCATCACCGCAGCTGTTGACATGTCGGAT